CAGGCTACAATTTTCAGAGCGTAGCTAGGCTGGCCCTACCTACAATTTTCAGGTCGTAGCCTAGATACGACCGAAGTGCAGCTACGATCAATTGGATCAAATCAATTGCAAAAATACTACCTAAGCTACCAAGAACAATGATGCAATTGGAGACGAGCGTGTGATTGGCAAATACCGAGGTGCATTGTCAAGCGGCAGTAGTACCTGCGCCAGAAAGGAGCCAACTCACAGCGAGGGCAGGCCGGGGACAGCGGTGATTTGGTGGCGGCGGCGGCATGTTGATGCAGGGCACAGCGCAGCGCAAAGCAAGCAGTCAACAGACCTGAGGAAGAGGGATACAGGGAAGGAGCAGAACGTCAGCGTGCTGCGGCAGATGAGCAGCAGAGGTGTGCCGCAGCAACGGTACTGACCAAAGGCAAGCGTGGCGTGGGTGGTGCTGGTGATTGCGGGTGCGTGGTGTCATGTGTCGTTGCGACTGGGTCGTGCTGCTGGATGGGTAAGGATGAAAGTGAGCGTCGAGAGCGATAAGGCGTCAGCGCTAATGTTGTCCGGTGGTGCAGCATGCCACAGATCAATGCACTCACCTATAGTCGGCAAGCGTGACTGCCGCTGGGGTCAATGGTCTTGGCCGGTGTGTGTTGGCAGGGCATTGTGTGGGCGGTGGCAGCAATTTGGCGTCGGTTGTGGCAGCAAGTTGGCGTCGATGGTGGCGGCAGCGAGTCAGCGTCGGTTGTGGCAGCAAGTCAGCGTTGGCGGTGGTGTCAATGTTGGCGTTGGTGGTGGCATCAAGTTGGCCTTGGTGGCGTTGATGTTGAGGCTGGTCGGGCGGTGCAGGACTGAGCGCGACCGAGGCGGGACAAGGCGGCTGGGGCAGATGCCGGCAGGTGGCGTCGACGGCGGTTGGGTGGCAGCGGCAGGCCAAAAGGCCGATGGAAGTGGTCAGGAGGGAAGGAGCGACGGTGGAGCGGGGCAAGACTTTATACCAAGGCAGGCGGGCGGGCGAGGCTCAGCTGGCGGGCGGGCGGTCAGGCAGGCAGGCTGCCTGCCTGCGTGAGCACACATGCACGCCAGCCTGCAAGCCTGCGTGAGCACGCATGCAGGCATAGCTAGCAGCAGAGCCCAGCTGCGATGTACCAGATCGCAGGCCTTGCCCGATCTGACAAGCGTTATACACGTGCGATTTACGGATCGGCAAGACCCTTGCCGATCTGCAGATCGGCCCACCCAGTGCGATCTGCCAGATCGCACCCGGCACGACCCCGCCTGCGATTAGCAGATCGCACTAGGTCGTGCGATCTGCCAGATCGCACCAGCACTGACCCTGCCTGCGATTTGTGGATCGCACCGGTACATCTGACTTTGGGATCGCACCAGCAGCAACTCTGCCTGCAATCTCAAGATTGCACCAGGTTGGCCAAGCTACTAGATCGCATGTGAATACCAAATTTGTCAGATTGCACAGCACCTGCGATTTGGCAGGGCCCATCATTACTACGATCTGGTGCGTCGCACTTCACCTTCGATCTGACGGGGCGCACGACACTCGCGATCTGGCGGGGCGCACGATACTCGCGATCTGGTCGGGCGCACGATAGCTTCAATTGCAAAATCGCACTACTGCTGGTTTGTGTCGAGTCGCACCGGCGCCAGAGCAGTGCACGCGTGGCGGCAGGGGGGAAGTCCAGGCGAAGGTGGCGGCGGTGGCGTCGGCAGGGATGGTGACGGCAACAATAGCGGCAAAGAAGCCCAGGGCGACGGGGCGAGGTGGCGAGGGCGAGGTGGCACGGAGCAAGCAGGAACGGAAGCAGAGGTGGACGAAGAGCGTGGTCAGTGGCAAGCTCCAGCGTCACGGGCTTGAGTCCAGCTGATCACAACTCACCTACAGGGCTGGGTGGCAAATGACTTGCGACCTGGCATCGGCGCCACCATCAGGCGAGGTGTCCTGTGAACGCAGCGGCGGTGGAGGGGGAGGCATGTTGGTCATCAGCTTGGTCTGCGCGAGCGCGATCCTGTCGGCCGAGCTACTCACCTGAGGTTGTCCAGTGACGGAGGCGGCGTTGAAGACTTCTCGATGCGGTGGTTGAACCTGCTGCGTGTGCGAAGACTGCCAGTGCAACATCGTCAGCTTGGTTGCAATCGCGGACGGCGAGCTCGGGCGTTGGGACTCACCTTGACTTGTGGGCCGTGAACGGCAGCGGCAGCGGTGAAGAGGGCTGGGCTGGCCGACGAGGGCGTGAGAACGGCGGGCAAGCTGGTTGATGGCTGATGGCGGGCGTCAGAGGTGGCAGCGGGCGAGGGTGATGATGTGCGGTAGGAAGGAGAGCGAGGGCAGATGGTCAAGTCAGACGTTGCAGGCGCCTGCTGACCGAAGGCAATTGCGACTCACCTTGTCACAGGAAGCGGTAACAGCAGTCTTGCTGATGATGCGCGTGGCGTTGATGAGGACCGAGGCGATGCCGTCCTTGGTGTGCTGGTGCGGCGAGTTGGCAAAGGGGGTGAGGATGGTGTCGACGCGCCTTTGGGTCAGCGCTATCATCTCCTCCTGCACTCAACGCCGATGTTGGGGGCTTACCGGGTGATGCGGCAGTGTGGCAGCCTTGGTCGCCGTGATCGTGGCAGAGCACTTGCGAGGCGATGGCGGCGGCTGCTAGGGCAAGACAAGAGGAAGGCGAGGCCGGGCTGAGGAGCGGTCGATGCGGCAGATGCGACGGATGCGCGCAACTCACCTGCTGATGCCTTGATGAGGTGCGCGGCAATTGGCCAAAGGTGGCGGTTGTTGTCTGCGTTGCAGAGAGCAAAGGGTTAGAGCAAGCAGCGAGCCGGCATCAGCGCGCATGGTCAGCAGATGGCGACCAGATGCGGACGGCTTCGTGACTCACGCAAACAAAAAGTGGCTGGCGTCGTATGGGTGGCGGTGGCAACTTGATGAGGTCGATGGCGGCGGACCTAGGCTTGGATCTGCAGAGAAGGCCAAAGAGGGAGAGATGTCAGCTTGCCTTGGCACGAAGCAATGGCGCCAGGGCGGAGCGGAGCTAACCCAAACGTGTAGCTGGTGGAAGACGCGGTGGTGTGGCGGTGGCAATGCGATCGTGCTGAATCCAGTCGGATGGTGCGGGATACAGGGCGGTTGGGGCGGGACGAGGCGGCTGGATGCCGCCAGGTGGCATTGACGTCGGTTGGTGGCGGCGGCGCGTGGAGTACCAGAGCGTAGCGCGGTCGGGCTGGGACGAGGCGGCTGGGTATGGTGGGTGGCGTCGACATCCGTTGGGTGGCGGCGGCGGGCGATGGGTCGCAGGGCAAAGCGCGGTCGGGGCGGGACGACACGGCTGGATGCCGAGGTGGCGTTGACGTCGGCCGGGTGGCGGTGGCAGGCAAAGGGTCGATGGATGGGATCAGGAGGGAAGGAGCGGAAGCGGAGGGGCAAGACTTTATACCCTACCCATACCAGGGCGGGTGGCGGTCAAGCAGCCTGCGTGCGTAGGCACGCCCGCCAGGCAGAGGCCAGGCGTGGCCACACACGCAGGGCAGCCAGCGTGGCCTCCACAATTTTTTTGCGCGCATCCGCCTGCCCGCCTGGCCGGGCTGGCCACGCTCGCCACCTCGCTCGACGGCTTGCCGAGCCCGTGGCGGTTGCGAAGCATTGAAGCACAGGCACACACACACATACCGAGAAGAGGGAGGACTGAGTTGTGAATTCAAACACGAGCACGTTGGCTTTGCGCCTGTGTCTGTCCGACTGTGGGGATCAGAGGTCGGGGCCGCGAGCAAGGATGGCCTGCTCCTTGCGCCTGCGGAGACGGCGGACATACTGCTTCACCTCGAGGAGCGACCAGCCAAAGATGGGCTGATAGTGGGCAGGGTCGTCGAACGCCGGCTCCAGATCCGTGGACAGGCCCGTCTTCTTGACGTCGAAGGTCGGGTCCAAGACGCCAGTGCTGTTGACGACGCAGCATTTGTCGTGGCGCTTGTTGTCGGACACGATGGTGTGGCAAAGTTCGAGGTGCTTGAGGCAGAACAGGCAGTCGACCATGGTCACCTTGAGCCAGAGCACTCGTCCGTCGACCCAGGCGTACTTGAGACAGCCGGCGACGGTGGGCCTCCTGCAGCCGTAGCCAACGAGCGAAGACGCCATGCATCCATTGGGGTCGAAGACCGAGTTGCGCCACCACATGACCCATTCGATGGCAAGCAGCCTGGCGCGTTCGTGCTCGTCCTCGAGGTCGCTCTTGAAGAGGATCTCCTGGTGCTTGAGAGCGAGGTCGACCTCAGTCAACTCCTTGTACACAATGCAGAAGTAGCGGATGAAGATCTTCATGTTTGACATTGCGACGAGTAGGTACAGCTGTTGAGCGCGGATGTACGAGGTTGGCGGGCGGTGTGGTGGCGGGTGTATGAGGTCGATCGGCAGTGTGGCGGCGGTGGCGAGCGAGGCCAGACGGGTCGACGGCGACGATGGAGCAGAGGATGGTGAGCAGAGGGAAAGCAAGGGCAGCGATGGTCAGCGACAGCGCAATGGCAGCAGAGAGAGCACGGGATCGAGACGGAGGCAGACTCACAGGGAGAGACCGAGTGGTGGAGGTGGGTGGTAGTGGTGGTGAGAGAGAGGAGGGAGGTGCGAGCGATCTGGCTGCCTTTAAGTATACACGAGGCAGCGAGGCGAGGAGGTGCGGAAAGCGGCAAGGCAGCGAGGCAGGGAGATGCGGAAGGCAGCGAGGCGGCGGGGCAGCAAGGCAGCAAGGTGGCAAGGTGCAGAAGCAAGAGCGCGGAGAGCAGACGAGTTGCTGGCAATCATCGGAGACTTCGGCCAGCACATCCCCCGGCGTTTCCGATGATTGAGGGTAGCAAGCGGAATCGTCGGACTGCCCTCGACATGACGCTGGCGTGGTTGAGGATAGGCAAGCGCTAGACGGATAGGCGGCGGCTGAGTCCGAGGCTGGAGCGGAAGTGGGTGACGCCGGTGGTCGTCTTGCGCGAGTGGCGGAGGTCGGACGTGGGGATGAGGACGTGGCCCATCGAGAGCATGCTGAGGCCGCCACCCTCCTTGGGCGAGGCGAGGATGGTCCAGTGCAGGGGCATGGTGGAGTCGACGCCCGGCTTGATCCAAATGACACGATGAGCGCGCGGCTGCGACCGTTGAAGCTTTGAG